ATTTATAATTAATTGAACGCACACGCTTGCACGCATTTGGGGTGAGGGTATTTTTGTTAGTTCACGTGTTTTTAGGCTGAAAACTTAAATAGGTGTGACAATGCAATGATGTTAGCAAATAAATGTGGTATTGTCCAAATTTTTTTAAGGTGGAAAGTATCAATTTTGATAAACGTAAATGAGGAAATGTAAAACCCTAAGGTAATGTAATGTAATCATTAACTAGTCATTGTTTGCCTCTTCATTAATTAATGCTGCGGGCAAGAGCCCTTATATATTCAGTTTTGAGATACTATTTTTCAGGTGATGTTCAATATTGAACTAAGGTAATATCCAAGATTATCTTTTTTAGTTGGGTCCTATCCTAATTCTGGTGGTATCCTAGTAGACGTAAAACGAAGTAAAAATGTCCATAAGATAGGCAACCCAATAATATTGGTGCTCTACGACAACAACATTGAACGCTACGTGGTGTAACACCATGTGATGTCTTATGACAATAGCTCTGGCACCGGTTATGTTCAAGCAACAATTTGCCGTAGGTTTGAGGTAAGTGATCATCAGATCGATGCAACTGCTTCTGGTTTTTGTGGACCTCGGCTGTTTGTATGTATGTATGTATGTATGTTACACAATTTGAGAGCGTCTCTTAACCTGTGGAAAGCTATTTGATTAATGGAACATTAGGCGTAGCGTGCTGCATGCGTCCTTAGCGGATGGGAGGGACCAGTGACATGCTGTTGGATTCTGATGTTGTTACGAGCTGATCAATACTTGAATGCGACGGCAACACTTGCAAGCGCAATGGACCTGGTCGTGTATTGACGCCGCGCTTCCTTAACCACTCTTTTGCCGGGCTCTGCCTTTTGCTTTCCATATACATCGCTACATCAGATTGTTCTTGCTTCGTAGCAATTTAATATTGGACCCCCCCTAAACTAATTCTAAAACAGAGAGTATCCGCGAGTTTGTATAACATGTCACGTGGACATCACGTGAGATCAATGTTTCGTTCCGAATTAATAGGAATCGTATGTTCTCATTAAGAAGTTTAAAAATATTTAAGTCGCTAATATCATATAGCAAAGAACTTAATTTAGAGCCAGTGCGACATTAAATAAAAAATTTTTTTTTTGAAGAGCAGCCGGTTCAAAGATTCTCGTCCCAACCGGCACAGCCAACGTAAATTTGACCCGCACAAGGGTCGAGTCAAAATTTGGAGAGAAGCAATTTCGAGTTAATTAAACTTGTATCATTCTCGATTATATGACGTTAGTAAAAGTTACCACTTAAAGAAATGTTCTGTGATGCGTGCGATGATGCAATTAACTGGATGATCATGAATATTTTGACCTGGAGGTAGAGCCGCAACGCCGCCCACAAAGTGGTGATCCAATTCCTTTCGGAATTCTTTTTTTTTTCTCTCTCTCTATTCAGTGGTCGGCAGTTTTTTTTTTGGGAGATATTAATAGGATGGGAAATAAATCCCCGGCTTTTGCTGCTGCAAGAAAAAGATGGTTGTACATATCATCAGGCCATACTCTCCAAAAGCCGTGGTCGGCAGGTTTTGTTTGGCTCGTGCGAGCGCTGTCTCTCTCGGTCTCGATCCCAAATTCGGTGTCAATCAGCGCCGCAGCGTAACTTGTCGATCGATTCCGTGACAACGCGCGAGCGCGCCCATACGTACGCGCGCGTGATCGAAGTGATCGCGGCCTACGTGTCCGCAAACTGATCAAGCGATCAAAAAGCCGACATCACCGTCTCACGTTTCACTCGAGGCTTTGCCTAGTCGGCTAATCTTATCTCATCAATATTCCTGGGCAGCCTGTTCGCTGGCCACCACCACCCAACTTCTTAACAGGTGAAGTGATCCCCAGATTGTCTCGTGAACGGGGATACTTTCTACAGTTAAATAAATTGTTGGAAAGATCTAAATGCTCAAATATGACTAGTAAAATGGGTCTTGCTGCTAGTACGTACTCCATTAATATGTCGATGTATATATGTATGTACCTACGCACGTGAGTGTGTGTGTATATTGTTGGATTTAATCTAATAAATCTATTTGTGGACACATATGATTAATCAATGTGTATTGCTATCTTTCAGGATAACCCACTAAAGTGATCAATTAAGTTGGGTTAATTTGGTATTTAAATAAGTCATGGGGTTATATGTGCAGATACCAGGTTGTAATTATGATTTATTGAGGGGCTAAATTACAAAAGTACAACATCTATAAATAAGGGGTTATGGTCCCTAACCTAGGGTTACATTCTCTAATTCTCTACACCCCCATCTAGCTAGAGAAATTCGGATTTAGAGAAACCCTAAGGTTAGAAGATCCAAAACCCATCTCAAGGTTCATCCATGGATTCAGGTATAAGCTTCCGCTCTTTTGATTTTGTTAATCTCTTTGAATTAATCATGGCTATATGGTTTTAGATCTCAAGTTTTATGATTTAGATTTAACAAGTGGTATTAGAGCCACCTTGATTAATTCTTAGAGATTTAAGTTTTATTGGGTTTTTGATCTTAAATCTCTGGTTATAGATTCAATTTTTGGGTTCGGATGAACAGTAACAAAAATTGTTCGGATGAACAGTAAAGTTTATTTTTTTCGGATGAACAGTAAGTGAAAATTTTTATGGAATTTTTTGGATTTTCCTTTGATTTTTTCTTCAATTTTTCTTGGATCTGGATCAAGAAATTTTTTCCGATTCTGGATCTGGTTTTGAAAATAAAAATTGAGGAATTTTTTGGGTATGGCGGCGGCGGTTTCAGTTTGAAACCCTAAGGGTTCATGGCGAAAATTAAGGAGGTGGTTACCTCAAA